AAGACATCATACACAGTCGATCTCGGATACCCGAAAAACCGAATGATTTCTGTCGCCGAGCGCCCGGCGCGAATACTTTCGATAATCGCGGCTCTTCGGTTGTACTACGCACTGGGTTTCAACATTGCGACTGTTTCGAAGTTATGGTAGTTTAGTACATGCGTCAAGCTATTTGAATGCCAATCGCGACATCTGCCAATGGTACTGAACGGAGGGAATATCAAATTGAAATTTGTCCGGATTTTGGCGCCGCACCCTGTATATGTATATACATATATATATACACGCTTATTTCCACACAACATCCTGGTGTAGGCTCTCATGACCATTAAAATATATATTTCTAAGTTATAAAAATATACATTTAAAAAAAGAAGTAACACATAATGAAGTGATACATAGATTTATTTTTTAGATTTTACTTGACTTTTTTGTGGCTTGTATGCTTTTATACACCAGTCTAGAATAATTAAACATTAATATAAATTAAATCACATAATAAAATACGCTAAGCAAGCAAGTCTAGTTCATTTTGTTTTTCTTTTATACTTTACTAAATAACTTTTGTCACAATAGCCAATTTTGTTTTTAGATAACCATAATCATTACTGATATTTGATGTTTTATCTCTCTTTGTTTTTTAGGATGAGGGAAGTAGCAGATAAAATAAACCGATATGGATTTGTAACACCATCAGATTTCAATGGTCTAAAAATATCTATGAAGCGTGTTGGAGTTCGACCAACTCATATNGCTCTTCTTACAGAGGACAATAAAATATGTAGAGTTGCATTTACAGTACTATTCGATAGATTGAACTTGAGTAAAAACAAACCTAATAGAAAGTAAATATAAAACAATATATCTTGAATTAATTTATTAAAAGAAAAAATACAAATTAAGCTTTTTTTTATTGTAGTACAAATTAGTCATGTTGGGAATTCCAATTGTACCCCGAACGGGAATGGAAGTAGCAGTAGTGGCAGCAGAACTGGAATGTCTTGCTCACGTGCGCGGATTATGTGTAGCAACTCTGCAATTCGCGGTGGTAGCAGCGGAAGTGGCAGGCGGTGGTCGTATAAGACCACCAGAAGTGATCATGAGAGAAGGAAGTGGTAGCAGTCCAATCGCATCTGTACCGGCACCGTTTGTTCCTGAAGATCTTATATCACAAGCACTAGTAGTATTGCAAGGGAAAAATCGTAATTTGATTATCAGAAAGTTACAGGTATTAACATCACTAATAACTACATAGGCGGATTTATGAAGGCGGACAATAAATATTTCATTAAAAAATGTTGCAGCGTAAAAATTTAGATGTAAACTTAGCAGTAAATAATCTTTTGTCGAGAGAGGACNAAGAAAGTGATGATGCGGAAGATGCAGCTGAGAGTTATGTTCCCGAAGATCTTATATCATTATTAGACGATGGCTTTANTAACGAGCATTCCGTTATAATTGATGCTGATTTCATGTTTTCCGAANATATGTTTGGATACACTGGAATAAGACAATACTTAACTTTTGAATGTATATACATACATCTGAATGTATATACATATCAGAGTTTTTGTTCATATATATCTGTGTTCTAAGAAACTTGTATTTNTACAGTCGCGGAAATAATATTACATACCATATCTGCATAACAAACATGTATATAATGCTATATGACTGAGTACTGTTTGGCTTTCTTGGTACAACGTAAGAGGCACAAAAACACGTACGTCATTTTTTTATGTTTTTTTATGTTTACATGTTCGTTATGCAAATATGGTATGTGATATTATTTCTTTTTTGCTTATAGTTCATACTACATAAAAACAAGTTTTGTAGAAACAATTGTATTAATTGTTAGAATGTAACACAACAANTTTTGTTGTGTGTGAATCATGATCTGCGTCTCTCTATAAAGCAATGTGAGAAAAAATTATTTCACCTGCTTTTGGAAAATGCTTACAATACATTTTCATGTTGTTTTGTTCACAATGCAATTTTTTCTNTGATTCATCGCGACACAAATAAATATTCTGCATTAATGTATACTTGGTTCATTTTGTATGAATTTGCTTTGACGATTTCTTATTGAAAATTCTCACTTGCGTGATTTTATCCTTTTACTTATAAGATGACAAATATTCTACTTTATTTCTGGAAGTAGTTTTGTATATAGTACATATATAGTACTATATAGTATATGTGTAGTACTATATACAAAAACATTATTTTGAAAAATAAAGTAAAATATTTATGTCATCTTATAAGTAAAAAAAGAACATCACATAAATGTAAAATTTTCAATAAATAATCTTCAAAGCAAATTCATACAAAATGAACCAAGTATACAGTAATGCAGAATATTTATTTGTGTCGCGATGAATCATAGAAAAAATTGCAGTGTGAACAAAACACCGTGCAAATGTATTGTACGCATTTTCCAAAAGCAGGTGAAGTAATTTTTTCTCACATTGCTTTATAGAGAGACGCAAATCGTGTTTCACACAACACAAAAATTGTTGTTACGTCCTAACAATTAATACGATTGTTTCTATAAAACTTGTATTTATGTAGTATAAACTATAAGCAAAAAGAAAAATTATATTACCATATCTGCATAACAAACATGAAACTATATAACACTATATACCAGAGTAATGTTTGGCTTTCTTGGTACAACTTAAAAAGCACCAACACACGTACGTAATTTTTATATTTACAACATTAATAATTTTGTAATTTGAGATCACCTTTATTTAAAAAAATTCAAACAATACTTACAGAAAAAGTTCCATTCACAAATATTTCACATGCTTCAGATAAGAGGCTTAATAATGTGTCGCTGCTAAAAATAAGTGCAATTTTATTATCATCCGATACTGCACAACCTTTGTAGATATTGCGTGTAAGTATGCGTATGTTCCTAACATGTCGTGTAGAGATCGTAAATCATTCGGAACAGCTGGACGAAATTTGGTCCTTTGTCGGCTAAGTATAGATTTCATGCAGTTGTAAGAAATATATGCTGCAGCTGTTGGGTTACTGCGACAAATTGTATCAAATATTTCTGTCAAAGTTTGTGTTGTTTCTTGGGTTAAACGTGTTAGTAGCTTTTCCATATTACAAATCTGAACAATATACGGCTTTTCCGGATGGTTATGTGCATATTCAAAAATAAAAGATTCCTGGACTTCTCGTTAAAGTCTAGAGTAGAGTCTAGAGTTGTTTACAGGTTTGCATTTAGAGCAACGATATAGATACATTGCATAAATTAATTACATTATGATTGTTGGCTTACATCTGTGTAATTCTTATGTATTATATTTTTGTTTCTTTTTCATTACTCTCATACAGGTTTACTGTTTTATACTTCTACATATATGTAAAATATATGTAAAACTATACAATAAATTACAAATATGTAATACCTTTAAATAAAATTTATTATTTCTGTGAATATGAATTTAATTATCATATTTTATGTAAAAAAAATGCTTATTATAAAATGCCTTTTATAGATAATAGACATACTTATCTATATGTGTAAGTATTATTACGAGATAATAATTTATAGACAAATAATTTCGATCCAAATTGTTTTCTTTCTATGATCTCCATTTGAAAACATTACAGATATTGGTATTTTTTTACCAAAAAAAATAGATAAGTACATATATATTTTTATAAATAATAATTTTATATAATTTTATTATATATTTGTTGTATGTATTTTATAATATATGTAAAATTTATGTCGAATTATAAAACAAAAACTATATAAGAATAATAAAAAAGAATCCAGAAAATATAATACTAGGGAATTAAATAAATGAAGACCAACGATCATAATGTAAATAATTTAAGCGATAATACTATTACATAGAAATACAAATAAATACATATATTTATACATATTTTTATGCTTAAGTTTGGTATCAAGTGGGTCTTACATAGTTATTGTGCAATTTCACTGTCTGCCATTGCATGTTACGTACAGATTTTTTACGTAGTGTAATAAAACAACGAACTTACAATTACATGCAATTATAAACAGTAAAATTGCATTATGACTATGTAATTGCACTATGACCCCTCTAACAAACTTACAAAATATATATATATTTTAAGTATATATATATATTTTTTTAGTTTTTTTTTAAGTCTGATATCAGATGGGTCTTACGTTGCCATAGTGCAATTGTACTGTGTATAATTGCATGTACTTGTAAGTTCGTTGTTTTATTACACTACGTAAAAACTTTGCATGTCAATTTTTCGATTTTTTTATTATTGTAAGAAATAAAACTTTAGCAGCTTGAGCTGGTTTTCTTAATGTAGATATTTTATATTTTTTTCTTCGATGTTTGAATTCGTACGTATGTCTTACGCCCGTTTTGTGATTTCGACTTTTAGGTTTGTTTTTGCGGAAGCAAATAAAAAAGTGAAAACATTGATAATAACAAAGAGATGACAGCTATCGATATAGAAATGAAGGCAACAAAAGACCATCAGATCCTGATATTAATACATTCAACGGACTTTAAGAAAGGAGCTATCAAACGTGAGAAAAACACATTAAAAGAAAACGGAGCTTTGAGCGTATCTATTTGCGTCATATATTTATCTTTATTAGTAAGTGTCATTTGTACATAATAATCTGTACATTTTTTGTTTACATTTAAGATATGTAACTTTAGTATATTATACATTAAAAATAAACATGTTTGAAGACGCGCGTAAGATAACTTAAATATCGATATGACACATTATAAAAATAAAAGATGTACTGTATAGTGCTAATGTCTCATACATGCTAATACATACAATGTTCAATCTTATTTTATCTATAAAGTACATCTTTTTTGAGAATAAGAAATAGAACGAAAACTTACAATCCAAGTGGACGACGAATAAACTGTCTTTGGCGAGTACTAAGTCTATTGTAAACTTAAAAGTTACTTATTCTTATTTACTATTACTTATAGCACCAGTGTAAACAAATTATCATAGAATATCACATATGTATAATCAAACACTACAAAATAACTCTATCGAAATTCATATTGCGTTGTGTAAATGTTACTTATTTATTGATGGTAGTTTTCCGGTTTGGACGATTTACCTTTTGTATTTTTGTCATTTTTTTAGAAGAGGCAGCACTTGTAACTGCACTCAATGAATTGATGATATTTCTGAAAACAGCAAATATTATGGTATGTCTTTTTACATAAATATATTATTTAAGACAATATAATTACATATATTAATAGAGATGAAACAGTTTTCGAATAGGCGAAAGTGAATCTTAAATTCATGATATTGCCTATCGACAATATACAGAATGAGTCCCATGAGAAAGTGTTGCAACTAATCAGCTATTATTTTTGAATGTGTTCAGTTGTTGAATAAACAAAAATTTGTATTATAAAAGGGAAAGTTTGCAACTTGTAAGAGATATAAATAAAATTTAACAAAATGATTGTATCTGTTTACTTTAGTGATGAAATATATGCTACTAATCATAAGCAAGCTAATAGTAAATATTGTGAAATTTTGCATCACCGAAAAATGAAATGTTTGAAAATAGAGAAGAACTTGATAAAAACTTACTGAATAATTTACACAAACACGGCACATTTCTGGCTACATGGGTATGTTAATAATCAAAATTGTCGATTTTACAAATGAAATAAACTAATATACAAACATTTTGTTAAATTTTGTATCTGTTAAAAACTGCAGACGTTTTTCTTTTCAACGCAAGGTTCAATTTTTCAGGAACTGCATACAATTGAAAATGACAACTAATTAGTGTCAACATTTTCTTCATGGAACAATCTGTATATTTCTACTGAACTACTTATCAATAACACGTCTTAATTTATTCAAGTTTTGGAATAGTTTTACTGATAATTTGCTGTTGTCTGTGAGGTTTTGTAANTTTTTAACAATTGTTTCAGTTCGAGATTATTACTAATTTTAATTATGTTATTAACTACGTATTTTGTAATAGAATTTTGTACTTAAGAAATATAAATTTACAATACAAGGGTAATTATTAGGAACAATGTGATGGTTTCCTTTGTACAATGATGTTTTACGCATTACTTTCTTATGGTTTGTAAGTCTGTATTCTGTTCAGTAAGAGAAAGAAAGGCACTGGTCCGTGCTTATAAGGAAAGCGTAGCGGCAAAGTGGGGAGAGCAATAAATCCCGGGAGGCTATACCCGCTGACAACAGCCAAGCAATACAGTGATGTAAAGTGTACGGCTTTCTAATTGTTCTGGTAAAAATATGAGCAAAATGAGCAAGTTGTGCAACTTGATGGCTTTTCTCTTATTGAACAGTGTATAGATATTTTCACTGTTTTATTTAAGTATTTAAAAAAGTAATCTATGTACCTTTTTTATGATGATATTGTTCTTATGCAATTATCATATTGTAAGTTACACATTGGACATNTTCTATGAACTAAATTGCTATAACAATTTTCACATGAGCATAAATGTCCACATGGCACAAAGACATAGGACGCTCTTTCATTTATACATATAATGCAAGTTCCTTCCACTCGTGGAGATCTATTATTGTCAATGATTTCGTGTACAGTATGTATTTCGTGAAAAACTTCCGGAGCTNAAGATGTTTCATCCAAATAGCTATAATCATCTTCTGGTATCCTAAAAATTTCTTCGTCTTCTACAAATAATGAANAAGTAATATATAATACTTACAAGCTTATAAATTTGTTTGAAATATTTATGAGACAGAAGTAATTACTAATGTAAATAAATAGACACAAGTAGTGACATGTACGTAGGTGCATATTACTAATGTAAAGAAATTATTATTAATGTAAATATAAGAAGTAAAACATTTAAAACTATTCTTTATTTTCAAGAATTTATGATAATGACTTCAATATTTAAAATATGAAGATAGACCACTACAAGCCCGAGTAGTTGTGTGCTTCATTGTTTAAGATGTTTTTCAGTCTTTATTGTGTGTTAGGCACATTAAAGAACACATGGAGCAGTAAACGTTTNGATCGTTGGATGCGGTCTTTATCAATATTTGAAAAAAAGTTTATATATATTACTAATTATGAGATTAGTCGAAGAAAAAAATGTTGTGAACATTAGATTGAAATCATAATGAAAATAATATATGACGGCAACATGTCACAAATTCAGTGTAAGGCTGAAAGTTTAGCTCGTCATATATTATGTTAATTGCGATNTCAATCTGACGTGTACAACAGTTTTTATTTTGCTCATCTCATAATTTATTATAACATTGATAAACTTTTTATTAAGGATAAATAAAGACCGCATCTTATAGTCAAAACGTTTACTGTGCCATGTGTAACACATAATAAAGAATTAAAAACATTAAAAACAATAAAACATAATTACCCGAACTTCTATTGGCCTCTCATANTTTTCATATTCTTTATATCTTTTATTGGAAAAAATGTCGCAGGTTTTATTATATAGATAAATATTATAGTGTAACTATTACGTGTATTTGTGGTAAACTCGTTATTGGTGTTATGTTCTGCACCAAAATTCTCAGTAGAGTTCAACGAATATAACTGTTGTACTTCCATATCTACAATTAAAAAAGTTAGAGAAAAATAATTTACAAATATTTCATAATAATTTAATAATAATTTAAAATAGATGTTATATATATAGTTAGTAATAAAACGTTTTATACATAGTTAGTAGTAAGAGATTTTTAATTATAAAATTAAAGTATTAAATGTAGTAAAGCCATTCTTTTATCAAAAAGAGATTATTATCTACAATGTAAAACAATCAAATTAATATTTAAAAATATATGAAATAATACTAACTTTATCATAAATCATATTATAATATCTTCTTGTTTATTCATCTCTCTCTGAACTAGCGTCTTTCTACAAGATCGATTAGTTAAAGACCTAACCACGTCTTTGATTTAAATTAGAAGTATCTTCAGTTTCAGCTAACAAATAATAAACATAAACACAAAAAAGTAACTTTTGTAGACATGAAGGACGTCTTTGAGTTCATGTAATAAAAAATAATTAATGTAGAGTATTTGGCCAATAGGAACCAGGTGCAGGGTCTTTTTTTCTGATACAAAACGAGTTTTATGTCAACACGTTTCAACTTTTTTTTAAGTCTTCTTAAGTCGACTATAATAATTACAATAATGGATTAGATATACAAAAAAGCAACAAAATTGATGGTTGACAGAATTACAAAATACTGTCTCACCAGTAAGAAAATCAGCACTTCCCCGATAGCCAAATGATAGCAGTATGCCAGCAGTATGCACGCAGGTTTAATCAGCACTTTGCAGCAGATTCCACTCAGCTGTGTCATCATAGTGAGTGAATTATGTAGGCACGATACGTAAAGAAAACAACACAGCAAAAATATAGAAATAA